TGGACACGTTCACTAGAATTATCACTTTTTTTACAGCTTCTGGAAAAACATAAGAACACGGAAAGCATGGTAGAACTGCTTGAACTGTATCAATTGGAAGATGAAGCCTACAGTAGCCTTGCAGAAGCTATCACAGAGCTCTACCAGTACTTACTACAGCCATTCCGAGATATGAGGGAGCTTGCGATGCTTAGAAGACAGCAGATAAAGGTATGGTAAAGGTAACTGAACCTCTTATTAATGGGGAAATCATACTTTTTAGTTACTATTTGCTGTTTATTTTATTAGGCAGTATAGGCAGTGATGGTTTTTCTACTAGTCATTGACCCTATTTTTCTGGTTCTTCCACTCAGAGGAGTGCTTTTGAAGAGTGAAAGCGTCTCTGACATATGTAGCTAGCCATCACCTGTTTTATTTACTGTGTTTGACTGTTGAAATTCATTGCAGAATTTAGTAGGTGAAACTTACGATCTTGTGATTACTGGGAATACTGACTAATACATAAAATAGAAAGACACATCTGTACAATATCTATGCTATTGTTAACTATTTTAAAAGATTATACGGGAAGATACTTTTAGTTTTCTGAGGTATATCTGATAAACCATGAGAAGTCAGTTGCTTCTCATCTAATGTTGTGAAACACTTAAACATGTGTTTTAGAAGTATGTAATTTGTTGTAACACTTTAACAGTATATTTTCCTAAGAGCTGAAAAAGTATAGCCAGCTGAAGAATACTGCATTTTAGTGAAACTGTTTTATAATGAGTATTTGTTTTATTTAAAAATAATTCTAATTTTGAATATTTAACCAAAAATAACAAATGTCATCTTTATTTCATTTCAAAAGTACATCTGATAAAATCATTAGTTCCTGTGCAGATTATCACGACTGTAGCCTTCTGGTTCTTTCAATATATGTGTTGCAACATAGAGGATAAAATTGATTTGTTTCATTTAATCTCTATTGCAGATGTCAATTTATCTCAGCTTGGCACCTTGTTCAGTTAGCCAACGTTGTTTTTACTGGTTTCATTTTAAAAATACAGTGCTTTTCTCTGGTTTTGAGTATAGAATGGCGGTGAAGGAGACTGGTAAAAGGATTTACAATTCCCAAATCAGTTTTATTTTGAGATATTGCTGTGTCCATAAAGTAATTTTTCAGAAAGTTCAGCAATCTGAAATGAACTCAGTGAGATAATGTGGTGATATTTGAACTAAAAATGCTTTTTTTCGTCCTGAATAATAAATGGTGCTGCATAGAGAATTGGGATTAATATTTTTTTACATGTATTACATGGTTGAAACTTATGAACACTACATTTAATAAAAAGCCTTCTTCAAAACATGATAAAATAGTTCACATTTTATTTGAATTTGTAGCAGAGGAAAAGATTTTTTCTTTTGTCAATCAAGAGAAGATAAATATCATATTGAGTAGGGAATATGAATTAAGACTTGTGTTTTTTTTTTTTTAACCTCAGTGATACCTTGAATTCCAGTTTTAAAATTACCTAATTTTTTTATTTTTCCTGAAAGAAAAATCTTGGTAAACTTCAGAGGCATGTTCTGTGGTTGATTATTTTAGTTGTACATAATTGCATCTAATGTACATTAAGTTCTCTTCCTAACTTGGCAGTTTTTGAGTTTAGAACTTGATCATCTGTATTATGTGGTGGAGAAAGATGCCATCTCTTGTTTTTCATTTCATTGTTTGAGAGAAAGCAGTACTTGTATCTATGATGACAAAATATATGTTACGCTGGGTAGCTAGGGTAGAAGAATTGCTTTATAAATAGAACTTGTGCATGAAATGGTTTGTGTTAACTTGCTGCATGTGTTTTTCTGTCAGGCTTAATAATGGAACAAAGATCCTTAGGTTTCTATAAACCCTGATGGTTGGGATTAGCTCTATTTTCATGCATAACAGAAGTATTTCTGATATTTACTTACCTTAGTGAAATGGGCGCTGTGAACTTATAACACTGTTTTTATATAAAGAGTGAAAAGAGAAAGATAAAGTTTGCACGTAGGGCAGCAAGGAAGGAAGAACCTGCAGAATGTGTTACTAAAATGAAAAAATAAGTTACAAGGATATTTAAGCTAGAATAAAAATATCAGTATTTAGTCAAGATTGCATATGCCTTCTGTAATTACGTTATTTAACATTTTTGGGCCTTTTCCCTGTTACATATCTGTTTTTGATTTGTGGGGAAGTTGTTTTCATTTGTTTTTTTAAGAATTTGGGATTTTTACTAAGTCTTTTAATCTGTTTCATTTTGTCAGTTTTCGGAATGAGTTTAGGAGAAAATTAGTTGCTTTGCCTCTAATCTTTGAGAAAAGTGTTTAGTGCTTGTTTTGGAGCAAGACATAAAAACTGGAAGATATATAAAGGGTATTTAAATTTCTGCTGTTGCTGTGAAACTTTTAGAGGAGACAAGTCTACAGAAGGGAAGGGAGAAACAAACACAAAATTCTGTCTGCTTGGTGGAGGCTTGTTAGAGTAGGACAGCTGTATTATCTGCAGATGCCTTTTTTGGAAAAAAAAAACCCACCCAAAACCAGAACAAAAGTTCATAACAAAGTTGAAACATTTAGAAGTTAGAAAGTGCAGATTCATGTCGTCCATGATAGACATGATAGAAGTTTTTTCTTTTTTTTTGTTTTCACATTACACTTGACTGTATGCTAGTTTTTCAGGTGTATTTTGCCTCATTTTGTAGGAAGGATGGATCATTTAGTATGGGTGAAGAATCAAAGCTGTATTGTGAAGCACTTAGATATTGCTGAATTTGGAATAAAAATACAATAAAAAAGGTAGAAGATTATAGAAGGTAAAAAGGATGGCTTAGTATGAAAGGAAATGTCACTCTGGAAAACTGACTTCTGACAGAATTTCTGTTTAATTGTGGACTAGTCATCTGACCCTAGAACAGTGCGTTCAATAGTGGTATGTTTCTCATGTTTTGGGCTCCCAGCTTCAGAAACCTAGTTTTGTTCATAGATATGCTTAGTATTTTTACATGCTTCTCAAGTCCATGGGGACCTCCCTCTAAGCATGGCAAAATGCTGACCAGATACCATGCATTCTTGAAAAAATTGGACACTGCAAGCACAGCAGTGTTTGGGACCTACATTTTTATATTATATGATACGGGAATAATCCTGCTTGCTCCAACGGCTTTGTGGGGAACACACAAATAAAAGCCAATTTGTAATGAATAGTATTATCAAATTGAGAAGTGCTCCTCAATAATCAAATTGAGAAGTGCTCCTCAATAGTCCATGTTTACCTAAATCTGTAAATAGACTGAAATGTAGTACCTTTGGTTTCAGTAGTGCTCTGAAAAAACTATTTTTGTAAGCTTTCATGACATTTGCTGACATTATACTGGATCTTGTAGGGCTTAATTTGCAGTTGTTAATGGTTGTTTTTAGTATCCCTGTTCATGGGCGTTTATGTATTTAATGTGATTTGTTGTCTAACACTTGTGTTTTTATTATTTTCCTTTTTTCAATATATATGTATATAAAAATTGTCAACCATATTTTTATGAATTCCTGATGGATGTGCTTAACATTTTGCCTACTGTATATATTAAGCTCTTTTAACTGAAGAGTTAGAGATCCAGCCAAGCCTTTTCATCCACAAATGGAATCTAGAACATCCAGAGAAACCCTCAAGCTCACTTGCTTAAGCAAAGTTTTCAAATAACTAGTAGAATATGTCTTATTAAAAATACATATTATTTTTTTTTTTTTAAATTAAAGGTTTATTTTTGAAGGTGAACTTTTTTTTTTAGCCTGGAGCTGAGTCAATGTGAAGCTGAAATGTAAATTAAGGGTATTAGGATATATGTATATAGGAAAGCAAGGAAGGCAGAATTCAGGATGCACAATTTAGCCTTAATTCTGTCAACTGCCAATATAAAATACTTTAACTTAGTGGTTTTAGGGCTACTGTATATACCCTCTTAACTGCCTGGGGAAAATATGGTTCAGTAATCCCAGTCATTCCTCTTACTCTGACATAACCTTAATCTTCTATGATTTTCTTGTCTGAATATTTAACTTTTCAGCATTCTCCATAGTTCTGGAAAAAACATTCACAGCTGCACGTTGCAGTATAATGGCCTTATTGTTTAGTCTTCTTTTTGTACGTCCTAACATCTTGTTTGCTTTTTAGTTTTTCTTTTAGTCTTTTTTGAATTGTGTATATCATTCTCCTGTATCTTAAGATAATCAAAACCCCTATGTCGTTTGTATTGCTAGTCCCAGGCTTCGGATATTTTAAAGAATCTAGACCATCCATTCTAAGTTAGTTTCCATAGTCCATGATAGCACTCATTAGGATAAAAGCAGTAGACCTGTAAAGCCCTTTTTTCAGCTGAGTGTTTTGACTTAATGTAATTGGGGCTGTACATATGGAATCATGTATGTTGGGAAATTGTGCTGGGTTTGTGTGACAAGCTGGGAGCATAGTTAAATTAAAACCTGTCAGACTAACTTTAAGAAGTCCCTGAATGCATGATGAAGTTGGAATGCATGCATTATTGATAATATATCCAGCACTCTGTGGTTGCAATTGGTTGTTTGGGCTTCTGGAATGTGTTGAAGGAAGGTAGCTGAGTGAGCTGGAACACTCCTTTATGTATGAAGGTGTTTCCTTTTTGTATGTTACCTCTGCTGTCTGTAGCACTCCCTCAACTTATTTTTTTCATTCTTAGAATTAATCAACCTCCTGTTACATCTTGTTTTTTTCTCCTTTTCTTCCTATTACAAGTCTGTCTAGGAGAAGGATAATGAAACCCCTGCCTAAGGTATAATGTGACCTGGCCTAAGTCTATTTCTGTCAGACTCGTCCATTCTTGTTCCAGCTGTCTTGAGAAGGAACCTAGGAAGTATTAAAGATCTTTGAGGACTATTTATTTATTTAGGAGATGTATGCTCTAGAAAACTCCACAAAATCCTATAGTTTCAGGCCTGTTTCTCATATCTTCTAACAATAAACTTTACTCTCCAAGAAAACTCAACATGACAACAGTGTGTTAACTTTTCCAGAGAAGAAGGTTTCCAGTAGAAGAGTCTTGCCCCTCTGATTTATTGTCACTTGCTTATAGACTGGGTTAGGGACCTGCTTTCAGTTTGTATCCTCTGAAGAACTAGTTTGTTTTCCTTCAGAAACTTATCCATATGGTGTAGAAATGTGTTCTTTTATGTTTCACTACTCTGAAGCAATAGCTGATGGAAATAGATGTTTACATATGTGTTGAAGTTAATGGCTTCTGCTGTTTCTTCCTTTTCTTGTATGCTTTCCAACAACCACTTTTGTGAAAACTGGCATAATTTTCTTAGTTTCAAAACATTATTTGAAGTAAAGCTTGCAAAACATGCAAGTCTTCAAAAGCAAGTTTCATCATCAGGGAAAAAAAAACCAAACCTATCTTAGCCAATTTTACCGTGAGGCTTGGATTCTTCTCAACGAGAATATAGGGTTTTGGAAGAACAGCTGGAATGGGTTTTTTGAGAAAGTGATTACTAGAAAAGAAACGATAGATTTGGCTATGTGATCTAGTTATGAGATGAGAGGTTTCTCTGCTAGACCACACTTTCTTCAGAACCTTGAGTCCAAATGAGGAACTTCAAGACCGAAAAGGCGGTTCTGAGAAAACGTTAGAATAGAACGCATGGTGATTTGCTGATAGTTTTCTCTCCTTTTTGTTTTTCTTCCTCTCTTGTCCACCCTGAAACTGGTTACTGCTGGCAAAATAGCAACAATTAATTGTGTTGTTAATTATTAACTGATTTATTTTCAGATCTCAATAGAGAATGACTACCTAGGCCCCAGAAGAATTGAGAGTCTGCAAAAAGAAGATGCTGATTGGCAGAGGAAAGCCCACATGGCTGTGCTTTCTATTCAAGATCTTACAGTTAAATACTTTGAAATAACGGCTAAAACACAGAAAGGTAGCTATTTTCTACTCTTCTATCTGTCAAATAAAAGATCTTAATGTATTTAATGTTTACCGTGTTCAGTATTGTACTGTGATTTATCTGTGGTTTTCATCAATCTTGCTTGAGGAAAATGTAGTTGTTATTCCATTTTGTTTTTTCCTCTGTGTCTGTTCGAATCTTTCACCAGTAAGCCTTCTCAGAATGTCATCAGAAGTCATCAGAATAGAAAGTTTAGTTAAAAGTTTCACAACCACTTTCTCAATGTCATTGTATTAGCTGCATTGTACCTTTGCAAAGGATTTAGGGAACATAAGAGTCCCTGATGGATTCTGTCTTCTGTACTGGATATGGCAGACTGCCATAGTAAGTGTTAATTACCTTTCAATTCATTTCCTTTTCCTATCTTCCCTGCCTTTCAGTAATATTTTTTTTCATAGCTTTAAATGTTGAGCAACAGCTCAGTTTAACAGCTCAGTGGAAGCTCTTCTGTTCAGAAATCTTCATGGATATAGCCTTGGCATTTCTATGCTTTAAGAATGTGGCAGTTTTACTGAAGAGTTGGTGCAGTAAAACCAGGTCATATGACTTGCCACATACATCTGCTCTCTCATCCTTGTACCATTTTAACTTAGTAATCAGTTTACTGGGGCAAACGCACCTGAGGATGTGGTTTCATGTCATCTCTTTTAATTTGACTGTGAGCTACCACTAGAGTTTATGTCCCATTGTCCTCCCAGCTGACTGTGGTTCCTGTTACTTTCTTTACCTTGGTGATAGTGATTGTCCAACCAGATAGGTGACCTTGTACCCCTGGGAGAAAAATCTTTTTTGATGGGTAGGTTTTCTGTTGTCTCCCTGCAAGACTGCTAGATCTGCCTTGAGAAGCAGTCACTGCAAAACTATTCCTTTTGGTGACAGCCTAAGTATAACATGAAACTCCACCTTATTTTGAAAAAGTGACTAAACCAGTTCAAGTGTGTTGGAATGAATTTAAGTAGAACAAATTCTAAATGTATTTAATGAGTTTAGTTCCTTTTCTAGTACAGCAAAGGCAGCAAATAAAATACCCCATTAGTTGATAAAGACTGTGTATTTACAGTTATAGTTTTTGTTTTCTTCACATCCTTTCTTTATGTACAGCAGTCAGGATTGTGGGGAAAAACTGTGTGAAATTAAATGCCTGGAGACCATTTACAACCATAGACCTTTGGCGTACAGGTTGCTTGCCTGTTCTGTTATGTTTGGTGTGGTTTTGGCCTCCTGCTGATCACAGGGTGGTCTTACATACCAAAATACTAACAGATGGCAGAGGAAAACCACATGAGAACATAAAGGTATTTTTTATTACCTAACAACAGCACGTAATATCTTTTAGCAGCTGGAAAACTGAGTGCAATTCCTTAAATTGTGTGACTTTTGTGGCTTTTGCTTTGCAAAGCTAAGTGTACAGTGTCACGTGATTGTTTTATATATTAAAAATGGTGAAAATCTCATGTGTGTCATTCTAGATATTGTCTGGGGCTCAAGAACAGGAAATCTGAATCAGGGAAGGGACTGCTGCTACTCTCAAGCCTTTGTGAAAAGATTCTCTTTCATCCCTGCATATTAAGATGAGGTTATAATTTGTTTAGTTGATTTGAATTAATTTTGTGAAGCAGCCTGCATTTTGAGTTAAAAGATAGATGTTATTTTATTTAATTCAGTATTGTTACAGCGTTGCACTTGAGGTCAAGCGTAAATTTTTGTTTTAAATGGTAATTTTTTTTTTTTTCACTCTCCAGATTTGTTTAAACTTATAACTGCACTATAGAAGTTGTCAAGGGAAACTGGAGACTTTAGTAGCTGATAATTGGGTCTTTCAGAAGTTAGGAAGATTTGGGATGAAGTTTAAGACCACATGGAGGCATTAATGATATATTTTTCTTAAGTCAAGGATTCTGAACCAGTGTTTTCAAGTGTTCAGGTACTGCGCACATAAAATGGTCCTCTGTGGATAACAAAAATTTGATTTATAATGATAAAATGATCAAGAAATTGCTAATTGCTTATTTACCTGAATCCTAAGAGTACTCACATCCTGGATTTGAAGGTTAATTCTGTGTAGAATGACTACTCCCTGCTAAGAGAATTTTGCATGCTTTTGGATACAAAGGTGTGCATTGTCTCTGCAGTAGAACTGCTAGTGATCTGAAGAGTATACTGGTAAGCTGTCTGCCTTTTATTTCTTCCCTTCTATAGCTGTGTATGATCGAATGCGAGCAGACCAGAAAAAATTTGGTAAGGCAGCATGGGCAGCAGCAGTGGAACGTATGGAAAAGCTTCAGTATGCAGTTTCAAAGGAGACATTGCAGTTGATGCGTGCTAAAGAAATCTGTTTGGAGCAGAAGAAACATGCACTGAAAGAGGAGGTAATTTTTCATACCAATAAATAGAAAAACAAAACATCCAGAAAAAACCTAAACCTTAAAGAGTGGTGATGTTCTTAAAAAGCAGAAACAAAACAAAACAAAAAACCCCAGACTTGAAAGTAATTATTTTTCTGCTTTTAATAATAAAAGTTTGTATTTAAACATTTACTACAGTCTACCATGTTAGACAAATGGAATTTCACTGTAGGTGTGATAGGTTTTTTGCTGTTTATTTATTTTTCTGTTCACCTTTTCCTGGTTAGTCAACCAGGAAGACTGTTTCTGTTGTTACTGTTTACAACTATACACTGAGATGAATAAAGTGAAGAGAAGGGATAGGACAGAAATCTGCTGCTATGTAATCTCTGCACTTCAGCTCTCAAAGGCGTGACCACCTTTTTGGAATAATTTTGACATTCCAGATGGAAGGTGTCTGAACATCAGTAAATATACAGATGACGAAGCTGTTTTACTGCACTCTCTCTGTCTCTTACTACCCTAATTATTAGGACAGTCTTCCAGAAGGAGTTGTGCTAGCTACAGCTTTCCTGAGGAAAATGTGTGTATTGAACCGTGTTTGAATGTCTTGGCAGAAAACCTCCACATTTACTGATTTTTAAGACACCTTCTCAAAACCAAAAATGCTCCAAATCCTCTTTTAAAATTTGATGTCTTATGGATATTAGGTTCTAAGAGTTTTATGTGATACTAATATTAATTTATATTCTGTCCAATCAATTGCTTATTTTAGAGCACTTTTGAAATGTTTCAGCAAAATTTGACTAAACCGGTGTCTCTGTTATGAAAAGGTTATCCAGATAATTCATGACTCTAGCACTGTGTAGATTGGTAGGTTTGTAAACCTGGTAGACTATCTTTTAGGAGCGTGAAAATAAAAAGTTTTCTCCATTTCAATGCTCTTTATATTTAGAAAGCCAAGAGTTTTCTGGAAACCTGAGTTTATCATGCTTCTGCCATCTTTAGCCAAGAGTTGATGAGAGAATCGAGCAGTACTAAGTGGAAATATATTTAATATATTCATGTGTTTAGGGCAGCTATGCATCATCTTTTCCCTAGCACATCTTATTTTTCTCCTAGTGGAGACCTCTGTGAATTTTAGTTGAATGAGATCTGTTTGGTAGATGAGTGATTAATTGTTTTGATGTGTCAAAGCAATAGGGGCTACATAGGAAATTGAGAGGTTTATTGCAGTACACTGGAGGGTGAAGGGCTCTGAACTGAGATGTTGGGGCTTTTGGGGACAGAGAAATGAGGAACATCGCATGGGTGTGCATGGGCATGGTGCTTTGGAATAGTGTATTACAAAGGTATAAAGAGCTCTGGGTCAAAACATGGTGATGGGGAGATACGAGGAGCAGTTTCTGTTCTGAAACATCTTCTTTTTTTTGCTTTGAGAATGTAATAGCCTTAAGTATGCAAAGTTGGATGTGACAAACATGACTGGGAATCCCATATTGGAGAAGAAGGATTGCAGTCTTGTAAAGAAAATACTTGGTGATTACATTAGCTGGTATATTTAGAAGACATGACAGTGAAAAAAAGAAAACAACAGAAGATGAAAATGTAATACATTTTCTCCGTTAACCTTAATAAGTGAAGACTTCCCTGCTATGCTTAGATATATAAATTTGATAGGAAAAGGAGACATGTGGGAGATAATACACGTGTTTCTCTTGCACTTAATTCCTTCTTTTCCAAATTTAAACTGACCCTGCTGGTTGATTTTTAAGAGGGACAGCAAAAATGTCCTTGTTTCTGTAGTTTTTGTTTAGTATTAATTGAGAACTTGTTTGTTTCCTAAAATGTGTTGACGCTGTAAATATCTAGAAAACTGCTATATTTTACAAGTTATCATGATATGAAAATTACCTGGTTAGGTGAATAGGTTAGTTATAATTTATTTTTTTTTAATTTGACAACTGAAAATTTTAGCCCTATAATCTGTATTAAAAAAAAAAAAATGACTAATTCAACACAAATTACATACTATGCTTTTTTATTTTCCTGGTTTGTGCCTTTTAAGTTCCATCTGTTGTTCTGAATTTTGTTTGCAGGGAATGATAAGAGCTTTCCTTTTGAGGTAGACCAGAGGCTGCTCTCATGGACTGGTTGCCAAGTCTTGTCCTTATGACAGTAAACAGAAACATTAAGTCAGAGTGAGAATCCTTTGTAATTCTCCAAGTATGTAAAATAGTTTGGACAAATGGAAGCGTGTGACTGGAGACTTAAAATCCAACAAGTCTCATCTAGCATATATAGGACTCAATAACTAGTCTTCTCTTTTTTCCTTTTGGAAAAGGAAAAAACTGTACAGTTCAGTTCTAAAATACACATCAAAAGCAATTTTTAATTTATATGATAAGTAGTCTGTGATATTTTCATTAACAAAATCATATTCCGCCAAAGGATCGCTCAGGTTTTTTAAGAATGTTTTGTAATTCTAAGAGTACTTTCCTTTCCTGCACATTGAGACTGAATGAAAGATATATTTGTTTCCAATGACTGAGTATTTAAGCATATCTTGCATTTTGTGACTGTCATTTTACTTTTGCCTGAGTTGGATGCATCAGTAAAAATAACTTTATTAAGGATTATATTCAAGAGCTGTTTCAGGAAAATTGATCTTCTTTCTGTAAGAAATGGATGCTGATTTTGGTACAGGTGCAACATAATATTTTTCAGAAAAATGTTTTACCTTGTTAGCTTTCATTGTGTGTTTTTTCTAAACTTTTTCTTTCTGTGACAGCTTTTTGGAAAGGCTAAGTAGAAAGCTAAAATTGGGAAATCTTTGAAGATTTGTTTAAACATTTGAATTATTAATAACAGATTAGGAGTGCTTTTGCTTTCTTCACTTTCGTTGTTCAAACTGGCAAACTACAATTGGTTGTAAAAACGACAATTTTATTTATTTTCTTTAATCTTATATTAAACATTTGTGTAATATACTCCAGTTTAATCAAAAGGTCAGAAAGACTTAGAAATTAAAAGTATTTTAAGTGGCCATTATGTATAACGAAAATAGAAAGCAGGCAGCTTTAAGCACCCCAGGTGAAGTAATGGGGTGTACTCTATAGACAAAACTTGGAGTCATAGTTAGGCTTTTAATAATGCAGTGAGACATTATTAGAAAATTACTCATTAGCAATGATAACCTACTTCAAACTTAATAGTTATCAAAACACACAAAATCTTTTGAGATAACATTATTAGAACATAATTTACCTCCCCCCTATCCCCGAAAATTCCCTTGTCTGTCAGGACCCTGAACCTCTAGGTGAGGGTGAAAGGAGTGGAATCCCTTCCACTGTAACAGCAGAGCAAGTCCGGGACTGCCTCATGACACCGAATGTATATAAGTCTATGGGGCCAGACAATATGCATCTCAGGGTTCTGAAAGAGATGGCTGATGTGGTTGCCGAGCCAGTCTCCATCATATTTGAAGAATCATGGCTGTCGCATGAAGTCCCCGGTGACTGGAAAAAGGGAAACATTACTCCTATTTTTAAGAAAGGGAGAAAAGAAGACCTGGGGAACTACAGGCTGATGAGCATCGCCTCTGTGCCTGGGAAGATCATGGAGCAGATCCTCCTCAAAGCCATGTTAAGGCATACACGAGACCACGATGTGATCTGAGGCAGCCTACATGGCTTCACCAAAGGCAGATCTTGCCTGACCGATCTGGTGGCCTTCTGTGATGGAGTGACGGCATCGGTGGACAAAGGAAAGGCGACAGATGTCATCTACCTGGACTTCTGCAAAGCCTTTGACATGGTCCCTCACCACATCCTTCTCTCTAAATTGGAGAGGTGTGCATTTGAACGATGGACTGTTCAATGGATAAAGAATTGATTGGCCAAAGGGACCGCACAAGCGGTGTCCCTCAAGGGTCTGTCTTGGGACCAGTGCTCTTCAACATCTTTATCAACAACGTAGATGAGGGAATCAAGTGCACCATCAGCAAATTTGCAGAAGACACCAGTAGTGCAGTTGATATGATAGAGGGAAGGGATGCCATCCAGGGGGACCTGGACAGGTTGGAGAAGTGGGCCCATGAAAACCTAATGAGGTTCAGCAAGGCCAACTGCAAGGTGTTGCACTTGGGCCGGTGCAATCCC